CAGCGAATCCCCTGAAGTCCTGTATTGTGTGGTTTGGACACCTTCCTTGTCAGACTGCCGTGGAGGGTCATGAAGGTTCTGGAGCCTTTGACGGGCTGGACGTGCCAGGGCCCTGGAGCCCCAGCGGTCATCCCAGATGACCACCGGTCCTTTGCTACCAGGGGTGTGATTCCTGCTCTCTGCTGGGCTTGTGTTCTCTAACTGCAGCTGGTGGCCAGCCTGCCAGGAATCATGCGATAGCCCTGGTTCCCGCCCCCAGATCATTAGATGTGGCAGCTCTAGGAAGACACCCACAACATGATAACCATCCCAGGTGATCCTCCTGCACACCAGGGCTTAATGCTGTCCTGCGGGGCGTGTACACCTCGCTGGCTCTGTCTTCTCGCCCTGAACCCCAGCTCCAGGGGGACCACAGAAGCGTCCCACTGCTCACCGTGACTAACTTGAGCATCTCTGGCTGTGGCTGCAATTAATTCATTCCACTAATGACCCTGCAAGTTAAGGGCACATGCTCCTTGTGCTACGTGGAGAGGAACAGAGAGGCACCCCAAGAAAGAGCCATGCAGTGACACTCAGAGAGCGCTCGAGACAGAGCGGGAAGCACCACGCTGGGAGGCAGCATCCACCCGCAGCCTCCCTCTCTTGGGAGTGAAATGCGTCCTCAGAGCTTGACACGTCACTTTTGTGCACGTCCATCAAGTCACAAGAGCACTTGACATTTCAAGGAGGCTTTGAGCAGAGGACATTTGTCTGTTTGTGGCGGTCCTGAGGCGCTTTGCCAGGAATTTTAAATATTGTTGGAGTCTTGCCTGCATTTCAGGCCGAAGAGGCAAAGCAAGAGCTTGTAAATCCACCAGGTGAGGAGTTTTACGACATTTAAAGAAACTGCCCAGGAGCAAGTCTGGCAGCTTTCGCCTCTTATCGACAGAAAATAAAACGCTCCGTGCACGGACATGTAGGGTACTTTTCCTTATAGAGACAGAGCAGCGACACCAACAGGAACACGGTGGTCAGTTCCCAGCTCTCCCGGCGCCCCACCTCCCCAGACTCTGGGCCGTTAACCCGCATTTCTTGTGAACAGCTTCGTTTCGTCTTCTGACTTGTTGTCATTTGGGTGTGTTTAGAGCTCCCTGGGTAGAGCTAAGCCGCGGGAACAGCACAACGCCTTTGCTCTGTCGGTGTCTCTCAGGTCGAGTCACCATCCAGCATGGTGGCAGGTGTCCCCCAACCATGACAAGGGAAGAGCTGGTTGACCGGCAGGACCAGCCACTTCCAGGGACTGGAAACACACATGCTCACTGATGCAGTAAAGGTGCAGGACGCTTCCATCGCCACCTGGAACCTCATGCTGCCCTTTACAGACACACCCACTGCTCTTCCCCGCCGCCCCCACCCCTTTAACTCCTGGCCTCCACCAGTCTGTTCTCCCAGAAGCCCAGAAGGTTCTGTGAGTGAGAGACGAGACTCTGTACAAGACATGGGGAGGCAGGCGGCAAACGGCACATCATTGCGACACAGAGGGACAGCCACTCCTCGGCGCCAGCCACCTGTGCTGTGTGAGCCAGCTGTTACTCTGTGACCTCTGTCCTGTTGCTCAGAAGTTGGAATCTGCACTGTCATCCAGAATCTCCCAACGTGCGGGCAAAAGACACAGCTACAAGCCGACCAGATGCATCTGAAGGCTGGGTCCGCCGTTCGCCCGTTTCTTTGGTTGCTTCCATCTGCTCCTGCCTCTCTCTTTTCTCAGCACTTTGCTTCCACTTGAGTTACGGGGCAGCTTTATTTTAAAAATAAAAGTTTTAAATTATGTTTCTTGTTGAAGAGCAATGCGTGCCCCTGGCACACAATTCAAAAGGACTGACAAGGTAGCTGATCAAGTCTCTTTCCCAGCCCTGCCCCCAGCCGCCCGGAAACTTTCAGGAGCCAGTCTCTGTAAAAGAGTTGTTTCTTCCTCCCACTTTTTTTTTTTTTTTTTGCCACCCACAGATTCTGGTACTTTCCTATTTTTTTTAAAGCAGAGTTTAGATTTACAAGATAATTCATCAGATAGCGTGCAGGATCCCACATGCCCAGTGCCCCCCGTTACGGACATCTTGCATTAGCGCGGTCCATTCGTTATAATTAATAAGCCGATAGTGATGCATCGGTATTAAGCCTGCAGTCTATCTCACGGCTCCCTTTTTGTGCTGGTTGGATCTGTGCAGGGTGTCCTGTACCCACCACCCCAGCATCGTAGAGTTTCGTTCGTAGGGTGGCTACCTGGTCCCAGAAGACTGTCTGGGTTGAAAATAATTTTCCCTTGGAGACTCCAAAGCATCGCTCCTTTGCCCCAGAGCTTTCCCTACGGGTCTAAGAAGGCCCTGGGGGGACATTTAGGGTCCCCCCCAGCACGCGCTGTCGTCTCCCCATTTCCGCTCTGAGCGCCTTCCTTCTCAGCTGTTGGGATCTCAGCGCTGGGCACTGTCAGCCTGCGG